AAACCACCGAAGTTGTATGGGTTACCAAAAATACACAAGCCCAATGCTCCACTACGTCCTATAGTGAGCCAAATCGATTCACCAACTTACAGATTAGCTCAATACTTAGCGAATATACTCTCACCGCTCAAGGGACATACAAGAGCACACACAAAGGATTCCTACCATTTTGTCAGCGAGATTAAAGACCTACATCTGGCAGACAATGAAACTATGGTGAGTTTTGATGTGCAGTCTCTATTCACATGCCTACCTGTTGAAGACTGCATCTCGATTGTTACTAGAAGGCTAGAGGAAAACAACATGCCCGTAGAATATGCAGTATTACTCAGACACTGCCTTACATCTGGCTACCTATTGTGGAAGGAGGAGTTCTACAAGCAAGTAGATGGAGTGGCGATGGGCTCACCTGTATCTCCCATTGTCGCCGATATATTCATGGAGGACTTTGAGGAGAAAGCCCTGCTTACTTCTCCCATAAACCCAAGATTCTACAAGCGGTACGTAGACGACACTTTCACAATTCTACCTTTAGATAAAGTAACTGCATTTTTAGACCATCTTAACTCCTTAAATTCTAAAATTCAGTTCACAATGGAGTTAGAGGCAAACAATTCTTTAGCTTTTCTAGATGTATTAGTAATTCGGAATCCTGATAACACCTTGAGCCACACTGTGTATAGAAAAAAGACCCATACAGATAGATATTTAAACGGTGATTCTCACCACCATCCTTCACAGTTAGCTACCGTGGGTAAATCTTTGTTTCAGAGAGCACGAGGGATCTGTGACAGTAAACACCTGGCCGCCGAGCTCCAACACGTCAAGCAAGTTTTGCACAACAATAAGCTTCGGGTCCCGCGCCTACGTCACAGTGAACGAGTGAAGCCGGCCACAGTCGAGCGAGTGCCTGCTGTACTGCCATATGTCAGAGGTGTCACTGACAAGATTGGCTACATCTTGAAGCGTGCTTCCATTAAAATATATTTCAAGCCGCCGAAGAAGATTAGTCAGTTTTTACCATCAGTCAAGTGTAATATTCCTCTGCAAGATGCAGGAGTGTACAAGCTGGATTGTGAATGTGGTCTCTCTTATATAGGACAAGCTAAAAGATCCATAAAAACCCGCGTTAAAGAACACATAGCTGATGTGAAGAATAGACGCTCCGGGAAGTCTGCAGTCTGTGAACATGTACAGGATCGCCCCCGTCACTACATTAGATTTGATAGACCACAAATCCTCGCTAAAGAACACTGATTCCTTCCAAGGATGATTCGCGAGGCTATTGAAATCAAAAAACATCCTAATTTCAATAGAGAAGATGGCTGGGTGCTACCATCTGCTTGGGATCCCATAATTAATAAAATTAAATCCCAACCCAAGCATACAACTGCAAGACTTCATGATACTGTAAGTTCATACTGCGTAGATCGGAACAAAAATTAATAATTTTTAATCTGGAGGTAGCCGTGGTTAACTATGACATTGGGACGTCATACACCTCAGTCCCCCCCGTGACCATGGGTGCTGTAAAGTGCTTGAAACGTCGGGAATGTAAAATAAGTTAATATACGCGATAAAATCCGTAAAATTAGTTTCATTTAAATACAAGAAAACGACCTTGAAATTTTTCATTACCCCTCAGTCTCTTTCTAATTAGGGTGAACACAAAATACAAGAATTTGGGATATTATGGGGAAAAATCAGTTTATTATTATTATATTCCCATATAAAATTTTATTTTAATAGAAAATAGTAGAGTTCCATTGAAACGCATGATATTAGAAAAATTCATAAGGACGAAGCTGCGGGCGGAAGTTTATTAATTAATATTATTTATTCGTGTACTTTTTTGTCAATAAACGAATGAACGGGTTCAATATAAAAAACTTTAACCATGAACTCAGATCATCATCCTGAACAAAATCTAAAATAATTTTTGTCCAAAACTGAAATAAAAATTCAAAATGTCACGTGACCAATTTTGTATGCGAAGCCAATTTTTTTTAATTTCCCCAAAGAAATTCCTTCAGTACCTTACTCAGGATGATGGTCATGATGAGTTCATGGTTAAAGTTTTCGGGAGGATGTCTTTACATCCCTTATAATGTAACATTAGGAAATAATAAAACTCAAATAATAATCGTTTTTATTTACATTTAATATTACAATAGAAATAGTGTCTACAAATTTAAAATATACAACAATAATAATTAGAGGTAAAGGTTTTTACAACAACACAATTTTTATACATGACTGAATAGTTTTGTGAAGTTTTTGTCGCTTGGTACGAACAGCACTCAACTTTTGGTCCATAAAATCTTTCAGATGCGTTCTGAGACGCATGGTCAAAAAAGAGTTTGAAATTCACAGCAACCACTTACCATCAGGTGGACTGTGTGCTCGCTTGTCACCCTATCCTATATAAAAAAAATATTTTTAAATTCTGGATTAATGAAATTCAGAGCAATTAATACTGTCATCCATAGGCTGATGCAGTTCACCTGATGGTAAGTGATTGCTGCGGCCCATAGACATCTACATTTATCCTCGTTTGCGAATCAAAATGTATATACATTGTCACCCGTGAGGACTAAGATGGAATGTCTCATTTCCAGTAAAAAGGGTCTCCGGTACTCTACACTCACCATACGAAACACAACAGCGTTAGGCTGCTATTTTACGCTGGTATTCTGTTGAAGGTGTGATCCTTCCCCGGTCCAGTTGTTTCTATTCCCATTCATGATAAAACTATACTACTAATATAGCTGCAGCATGGCTCTACCACGTATAAAATACACTATATATATAAATAAAACATTGGTCGCAACTGTGGTGTGAAGTGTTGAATAATAATATTGATTAATACGTTTTTAATATAAGGTTGACTCAGACTATTCATATTTCATGCCTTTTTAAATATTTTATTCGCAAAAAGGACAATTTTGTACACCTCTGCGGATGGAATAAGCAATTTACCTCTATTTACAAATGTTGTAGATAGTGATATTTATTTACATTCAAAACGTATAAATGATCGGTTTGTAAATGATCTGCAGCAATTAGCAAATTTTTACAATCGTTACATTTCAGCTGTTTGACAATATTTTTATTATATAACCATTAATATAATAAAGAATAGTTTTCTGATAATCCGTATGGGTGTTTTGTGATTCCAAAGCCTGCAAGTGGTTTTCGATTTCATCATTAGTATCTGTATCATCAGTATTTGAGATCGGATTCGGATTGGAAAGCCCCACAATGCAATTAAAAAAGGCCAAAGACCGTCTTAAGATCTCAACGTTTGGCAAAGTTGCATACTGTATATATGAATTAGAAGTACATTTAAAAACATTAAAACAAAAATTGTTTTTTTATATTTATATCTTTATTTATAGCGATAGCACTTATATACGTGTAACAAAATTGTCAAAAAATTGATTTCCTGAGACCGCAATTTTGATTAAATGTGTAAATTTTCATTTAAAAAATTAAATGCAATTAAATACTTAGCAAAATGTTGTACAAAAATAGCTTGTAATTATTTTTACAAAGTATAGCCTAGTGATATAACATATTAAGCTGTTCCTATTTTCTAGGTAACAGAATGCATTTTTCTTTCTTTCTCAGAAAAAAGATTTTTTTAAATTACTTTTCTTCCCTGGAAACAAAACTTCGCTTTGAAATAAGAAATAACAAGTACCTAACTAAAGTTCATGCCTGTACCACAGAACAATCTGCTATTTCATTTAAAAACGGTGTGACTCCTTGACTCAGTTGTTTCCCAGTAATCATGTAATTGGTTGATATGAAAAGGATTTCAAATCTTTGCTTTTTCAAAAAAGGGTATTTTTAGTTTCACATTATTTAACCATTTATTACGTTCTGTTAGATTGGAAGGAAACTTGCAAAAAATTAAGTAATAAAAGATATAAATTTATTTTAATTTTGATGTTTCAGTGTATCGTCATTCGTGTAAACAACGTTTCGAAATTTCACGCAAATCGAGCAGAGATTCCATTCGAGAAAACCTTTTCCGTTTGTAATTAAAATGAAAATACATTACAATGTATGGTCACACTAGTCGAAATTATAATACAAACATGAAACATTAATTATTAAGCAAATAGCGAAGTAAAATTGGAAATACCGAACAAAAATTAACATCTAAACCAAAATAACCATATTCCTATATAGAAATAATAACAATTAAAGTCGAAATATCACTAAAAATCACTTTGACATGACGCGCAGTATTTGCATGGTATTTTGTATTTAAGAATGAAATTTAATATTACATTCTGGATGCCACTCACTTTTGCAACCGCGCACAATAAATTTAATGACCATTTTACTAGTTTTGCATCTGCATTATTCCAAAATTCAAAAAACAAACTTGCGAAATGAATATAAACATCAGCCATGTGCAGTAAAAACTATTTGTCAAATAGATTTTGGGTTGTCATATAACGGCTTTTAAGAATAAATCTAAAATAGGGGAAATATGTAGGAAGTTAGGCAAATAGTTCATCATAAATCTTTATTAAGTGTTTAAAAGAAACAGCAAACACTTAAGTGAAAATCGTTTTTGACAAGTTTCGTTATCATTTTTTACTTAAAATTCTTGCCATACTGAGAATTAAACTTATACTGAAATTCTTGATGGCTGTCAATAGGGTAATATCAACCGTCACGTTGGCTATTCTGTAGGGAAAACAGGGGTTAATCAAGGTCATTTGATTATTCCTAATGTTGATATTAGGAGTGTGGGTTCCAGTTTGTCTATACTTCCGTGGTTACTATACTCTTTGAGCGGAGAATTCGAAAGTATCCATTGGCAACACTGATAGTTTTGATTTTGACATTTACTTTTACTTTAATTTTGAAATTTTGAAAATATAACCTCTGTGATTTAATAATTCAAAATAATATAATATGGTCCTAACGTCTTTCATTCGTAATATTTTGTCTTATTAATCAATTTAACCATAAATTGCTAAATGCCTCCTAAGCAAGTTAAAAAAACATTATGGGTGGATTGCGAGCGCTGTGGATGCAGTATAACCTCTAATGATAGAAATGTGCATGTGGAGCTCAATTGTGTGAAAGATCCGGTTAAATGCCCATATGTAGAAGGCGGAAAATTATATACATGGTTACAACGAGCTAGTGCACCCCCTGAAGGGGCTCCTAGAGATGCGGTGCTTGTGCATTCATCGGCTGCGTCGCTTATAGGTGCTGTGATCGGAGGCCCCCTTGAACTCAGCAGGAAAGGTGCCCCAAAGCTGGTTAGGCGTATGTGGCCCTCCAAATCGTCTGCGCCTGCAGCTATTATTTTACCAGCTGCTGGTAAGCCAATTTTATGTATTCTATGTAACTGAATATGCATATTATGATTTATGTTACAGCAATTTTTTTTATTTTAATTAAGTCCATATGATTTTTGATAAATTTTGATTATATCTACATTTTACGGTTGTTGGCGAGAGAATTGTGGACGATAAATCGAACACTTCCTTGGGACAGATATTCACACTCCTGGTGATAAAATAAGGTATGACTTTCCATTGACTCCCGTAGAGTTGGGGGTTGATACATATTTTTACAGAAAAGTTACTCTATTATAAGCACACACACAAAGTTACTCCTTACATAGAGGCTGCTCTTCCCACAGTGCCAGAGACGTAGCAGTCTCAAAATAGATACAGAAATCCTTCTGAATCAGTCCCCCTATATTTTATGATGAAGGGGATTTTTTTCTCATAAAATGGATTTATATTTACATTATAAATGCAAACATGAAAAAAAAATATAGATATTTTAGAAATCGGTTTTTTGGGAATCAATACATCAGCTTAAATTCGAATCTATTTAAAAAAATCGATCTTTTTCGGAAAGAATCGACATCCTTACTGACAATAACAATAAAAAATGGCGTCAGTTTTATGGTAGGATTAGATATAAACAATGCAAGAATAATTGATTTTCAGTAACTTTTTTCTCAAAAATTATGCGTTTCCGCATGTTTTAACTTTGTGTGTGTGCTTATAATAGTGTAACTTTTCTGTAAAAATATTTATCAACCCCCAACTCCACGGGAGTCAATGGAAAGCGAAACCTAGAATAATTTTCCGGATTCGAAGATTACCGAGTACTACCCCTCTCTTTGAACTTCAGATAATCCTATAAAATTCAAGTGCAACTTTTCTTCTCATTAGTCTTTAGGGTGCATGCATTAAATGGTGTGTCAGTAGCCTAATGAAAGGGCGTGGACAGTGAACTCGAAAGGTCGTGGGTTTGAATCCTTCATTTGACTACTGTCATGAACCACTTCTAACACAAGCATTTAAAGCTTACCAGAAATGGTTAAAGCGAATATTAGTAATGTTTAATAGCATTACTAGTATTTTATAAAAAAAACTGGTGCTAGTTCGAGTAATCCTTGTTTGCCATCTTTGATGACTTCTACACCATAAGTAGAAAATACTAACATTCTTATTTAACCTCTATTCCAATTACGAAGTCCCTTTTGACACTTCTTAGAACATAGTTTTATTTTTACTTTTTTACATAGTGATGTGTTTAAAAGAATCGTATAAAATCGATTATAGACAGATTCTTTTCGCAAGTGAAAATCTCTCAACACTGCGTCCACCTCGTGATCACGACCGCCATTTTGTTTGTCTCTTCAGTATGAGTGGAGAAGCCTTGTATACGATACGCATGTTCAGTTTAGTTGATTTTGTGTTGTGTTTTTATTTCGTTCTTGTTATTGTACTGTTTGATAATTCTTTCGTTGTTATTAAGTTTTGACTGTTATTTGATTTGGTTTTTTTTGTATTTATAAACACTATGGCCGAAACTGAGACCACTAAAAGAACAGTGATTCGCAGACAAGCGTGAGAGTTTGTAGTACGCCTACAAGATTACTTTGACAGAGAGTATCAGAATGGTGGTCCATTGTTGCCACTTTCACAAGTGACTAACCAAGTAAGTGCAGCTCTTGGTATTAGTTGAAAAACTGTTTCCCGAATAAGTAAGGAAAAACATGGTAAAGATTTAATGGAAGATAACAAATTAAACTCGCCACTTAAGAAAAAATTTGAAGATGAATAGTTACACATATCGACAATTTTGATAACGACGCCATTAGAAACCATATCTATGGCTACTATAGTAGGAACGAATTGCCGACTCTCGATTAATTGTCAAATTCTTTACGATAATCTGGACTGTTTCACGGCAGTAGAACTTCTTTCTGGAGGGTTTTAAAAAAATGTTGGCTTTACTTATAAAAAATGTGATAATAGGCGGATTTTGATGGAGGATATAGCTTTAGCCAGATTTAATTTTCTAAGATCAGCAAAGTCCATTGCCGTTTGGAATAATGTTATATTTCTAGATGAGACGTGGCTAAACGCTAATCATACAGTTGGCAGGATATGGACAGACGACAATCCTCACTCCTCCACAAAAGTACCTAGTGGCAAAGGCGAATGCTTAATTATTTATCATGCGGGTTCCATGAAGGGATTTGTTCCGAACTGCCTCTTGGCGTTTAAATCTAAGAAAACTGTAGAATACCACGAAGAGATGAATTTTGTTAAATTTAAGGAATGGTTTTGTACCTTATTGACCAACTTGAATGAGCCATCGACGATCATTATGGATAATGCACCGTATCATTCAGTACAAATAAGTAAGCCTCCAACTTCTAGCAGCAAAAAAGCCGATATTGTGAAATGGCTGAATGACAATAATATTGTTGCTGACATGTCCATGTTAAAAGTTGAGCTGCTGCATTTGGTTGCTATAAATAAGCCAGCTAGACCAAAATACGTATTGGACGAAATGGCTAAGGAAGCCGGACACAATGTAATGCGCCTTCCACCCTACCATTGTCAATACAATGCCATAGAATTGATTTGGGCGCAAATTAAAGGCAAGAATTTAAACAAATCTTTTTATAATTTATTTTTACCTATTTTAACATTTTATCTGTTGCTATATTAACACGCAAACCTTTATTTTAGGTTATGCGGCTCGTAAAAGTACCAGCCCACCGTTTACTGCAAACAAAAATCTGTCATTGTTGCAAGAAGCTTGTGATAGTGTTACTGCCGCAAATTGGGAAAGTGTGGTTTTACGAACAAAAAATTTGATTTTTGCAGATTGGGACAGAGACATACATATCGATGCCGTCATAGATAACCAAATTATAATAAATACAGGGGATTCTACAGACGATGATGAGGGTGATGACGACGATGCCGACCATGAAATATCAATTTCGGCTAGTGATGATGAATATGTTCCATGTTGATAAAAATATCATGTAATATTATCTAATTAAAATTAAAAAACAGTTTTATAAATTTTAATTTGATGCTAATACTTTTTCTGTCAATACGATTTTAATTTGTTCGTTATAGTAATCGAAGATCAATATCGTCAAGTATCGACTATAGCGGTACTTTACTAGTACTTGATTATTGACATCTGTCAAATGGGACTTCGTAATTGGAATAGAATATAGCAGAGTGTGTGCAGACTGACCGATAACAGTGTCCTGGCGGTCATACCTGATAAAATTGACTGTTGATGTCCTGAAACACTTACTGTTTTACTAACAAACAATGCCTTTTAGTTGTCTGATGGTATAAATAAAAAAATAAAAAGGGAAATTGTTATGGTACCCACCGAAATGGATCCTTAGCTACAAAATGAGTTCTACCACCCAATTAACAAATCTCAAAATAGTTTACTTGATTGAGCATTTGTCTTTTTTTATTTCAGACCTTTCTGGGGCATGGTGTAGAGGAAGTAATAATATAAGTGTGTCATTGCTTCATGGTGATATTAAAGTTGCAACTCATATAATTATCAAAATTAAAAACTGTAAGGTAGATACAGATATATGTGATATACTCCAGCAACACTTTGACAATCATTTTGTGTCAGTAAACTCAATTTTAGTTTACTACTATTTTGGTAAGAAATTAGAAATAGAAGTGACAAGAATAAAATCGGAAGAGAATGAAAACGGTAATAAAGAATGGTTTTTGTTAAATGAAGATACAGTTTGGGATCAAGAGAAATCAATCCAAAAGAGCAAAAAGAAACCCATGTCTTTAGGTGGCGTTGATGACATAATAGAGGAAATTAAAACTTTAGTCAATATATCTTTTAATGTTGATGGTTCTTTTGCAAACTTTCAGCCCACTAGAGGCTTACTAATTTATGGGCATTCTGGAATAGGTAAATCAGCTATCTGTAAATACCTTGTTGAGAATTTTAATTGTTATCACATAGAAGTAAATGGTCCAACAATTTTTAGTAAATATTTTGGCGAAACAGAAGCAACTATGAAAACATTATTTTCTAAAGCCATTGCAAATGAACCAAGCATTATTTTAGTTGACGAAATTGAGACAATATGTCCGCGTCGCTCATCAGGAAGCACAGAACAAGAGAGAAGAGTTACATCGGCTTTTGTTTCACTGTTAGACAATTTACATGAGGAAAGCAGTAGGGTTTTTATTTTAGCAACAACTAGAAAACCAGATGCGATAGATCCTATGTTAAGAAGATTTGGTAGACTGGACAAAGAAATAGAAGTTCCGGTGCCAGATAGAGTGAGAAGGAAAGAAATATTATATGCTTTGTTGAAATCTCTTCCAAATAAAGTGTCTTCACAAGATATTGATGCAATATCTGATTTAGCACATGGCTATGTTGCAGCTGATTTAGTTAATCTTTGTACACAGGCCTCTCTGAAGTGTATAAAACGAAATTGTGATGTCATAGAAAAGGAAGATTTGATTGCAGCATTGACTGTTGTAAGGCCTAGCGCTATGAGAGAACTCTTAATAGAAGTACCCAATGTCAGGTGGTCAGATATTGGGGGACAAGACAATTTGAAGTTAAAACTGAGGCAAGCTGTAGAATGGCCTTTAAAACACTCTGAAAGCTTTAAACGTTTAGGTATACGGCCACCAAGTGGCGTGTTGCTGTATGGTCCCCCAGGCTGCTCGAAGACCATGATTGCGAAAGCTCTGGCGACAGAAAGTGGATTAAATTTTTTGTCTATTAAAGGTCCTGAGTTGTTCTCCAAATGGGTGGGAGAATCTGAAAGAGCAGTTAGAGATTTGTTTACCAAAGCACGTCAGGTTGCTCCTTCTATAATTTTCTTTGATGAAATGGACGCTATAGGTGGTGAACGCGGCGCGGGAGAAGGCGGTGTTCACGAAAGGGTGTTGGCTCAGCTTCTTACGGAGCTTGATGGTGTCGTTCCCTTGAATTCAGTCACAATATTAGCTGCTACCAATCGACCCGACAGGATGGACCGAGCGTTATTGAGGCCTGGACGTTTAGACCGACTTATATATGTACCTCTGCCAGATTTCGAGACGAGATTGCAGATTATTGAATTAAAATTGTCTAAAATGAGTACCAGTGATGACGTTAATTCCCACAATTTAGCAACACGGACAGAAGGCTATTCAGGTGCTGAATTACAAGCACTCTGTCATGAGGCGGCGTTAAAAGCTCTGGAAAAGGATCTAGATTGCCCACAAGTGACTATGGAGCATTTTGAACATGTGTTGATGGATTTTAAACCTCGTACACCTTCATCATTGTTAAAGGTCTATGAGGATTTTGCTTTGGGTCAAAGATCTGGATAATTGTTTCCAGTTCTATATAGTTTAATACAGCAAAAATATATTAGCTTATAAGGATAACAGAATGTATATTGTGTGTAAATAATTTGTATTACGAATTTATATATTTATTAAAGTTTGTAAAAAAATTATAATATAAAGAAGAGTTGTACTTATTTTTGATTGAGCCATTATTATGGTCCTATTTTTCTACTCATCACAGCCTACCAAAACTTAACTTTTGAACATAGGCCTTTCCCATAGATTGCCTTATAGCGTATATTTGCCATAGTTCAAAAAAATCAAAAATCAAAAATCTTTATTTCATTAACTTAAGTCTAAAAATACAAGTTTTCTATGTTTGGAGATTCCTTTTAAGCTAAATAAATTGCTTGTTTTAGGAAACTCCGCTCTTCCAAAAACACTTTTACAACATATATTTAGACTACTATGTTAATGAACTGAAAGACTACATACTAATTATTTAAATAAGATATGCATGCAATTTTTACTCTTGTGTGATTTTTACTCGTGTATGTGTGTGTGTGTGTGTGTGTGTGTGTGTGTGTGTGTGTGTGTGTGTGTGTGTGTGTGTGTGTGTGTGTGTGTGTGTGCGTGTGTGTGTGCGCGCGCGTGTGTGTGTGTGTGTGCGTGTGTGTGTGTGTGTGTGTGGTGTTTCTATACTATGTGCGGATGTAATTCTATGTTTAAAACTTAATCATGCTCTCTACTTCCTCATAAGTTAGTGGCTTAAGCCAATTTAGGACCAGATCCTTGCATTCATAAGTTGTTTTGGTATAGATATTAAGTGCTTTGTTGGCCTTATTATATAGTTGACATGACAGGTTTGCGTGTTGTTGTCTAGCAAAAAATGTTTTACATGTTTGCATTTTAGCTACTGAGTCAATCCTTCTTCTGGTGAGTATAGAAGTGTCAAGTGGGAGAGATTTGTGTTTTTTAACAACAGTATGCAGGATATATAATTTACGTAATGACAACATATCTGCTACGGCATAGAGTGCTTGGGTGCGGAACCTTCGTTTTTTAAAGAACATGACCTTCAAAAGTGCGCGCTGCGCACGTTCAGCTACTAAAAATTTTATTTTTGATGCACCACCCCATACAGGAATGCAATAAGTCATGATAGACTGCGCCAAAGAAACATATATTCGTTTTAATAGGTCTTCTTTCGCAGAATGTCGTAAAATTTTAAAAATCCAGATTAATTTTCTGATGCGACTTGTAATAAGGTCAGTGTGGGCGTGCCATGAAAGTCTGTCATCAATCATTACTCCAAGATATTTTGTGGAGTTCACTTTGGCAATGATTGGACAGTTGCAGTTTGAAGCATTTAGAAGACAGCAATTATGTATCGTGAGATTGTAATCTGGGTTTGGTTGCGTTCTATTGCTTATAGAGAAACACATAAAGTTAGTCTTTAATGTATTTAACGAAAGTAGGTTTAACCTTAACCATAAAGCAGTAGTAAAAAGTGCCGATTCCGCGTTCTTTTTGATAGAGTCTCAGGAGTTGCCAGTAATGACCATGGCAGTATCATCAGCGTAAGAGAAGATCGTGGTACTGTTTAGGGACATACTGCAAAGCTCATTGATGTAAATGAGAAATAATGTTGGCCCAAGAACTGAGCCCTGTGGTACACCAAAAGTTAAGTCAGCATCGTTGCTCACAAAACTACCCACCCCAACCTTCTGCTTCCTGCCACTCAGATAACTTTTAAATAAATTTAATGGAGTACCTCTAACTCCAACTTTTTCTAATTTGCGCACGAGAATGCGATAACTGGCAGGCAGTTTGGCAACCACAGTATTTATTATTAATAGATTGTTATGGGAAAGATGTGTTTTCGGCTGTACCCATGCTGCAGATATGATAATAGTATAGTTGTAGCACGAATGGGTCGGCTCGACCGGGGAAGGACCACGCTCTCACAGAATACCAGCGTAAAATAGCAGCTTAATGCTGCTGTGTTTCGTATAGTGAGTGTAGAGAACCGGAGACCCTTTTTACTGGAAAAGAGGCATTCCATCTTAGTCCTCAAGGGTGACAACGCATCTGCATTTTCATTCGTAAAGGAGGATAAATGTAGATGTCTATGGGCCACAGCAACCACTTACCATCAGGTGGACTGTGTGCTCGTTCATCATCCTATCCTATATAAAAAGAACAATCTTCTGTCTCAGTTTCGTGGGTTATCTTTTTTTTGTTTTATAGGAGAGGGGGCAAACAAGCATGCGGCTCACTCGATTGAATGAGGGAATTACAGATGTGTTGCCGGCCATTTAAAAAGGAGTACGCTCTTTTCTTGAAGGTTCCTAAGTCGTATCGGTCCGGAAAAATCGCTGATGGTAATCGATTGCACAAGGAAGTCGTGCGAGGAAGAAAACATCTTCTAAATCGCACAGTGGTGGACCCCCAATCATCCAGATGATGTGGTGTGGATGGTATCGGGAGTTCTGCCGCGATGTGCGTTCGTGAAATTTGGCGGCTGGGATTAATCCGAACAATTCCTCAGAGCACTCCCCATGGTAGATGCGAAAGAAAATGCAAAGGGATGCAATATCTCTTCGCAGTGCCAATGAATCGAGCCGATCGGAAAGGGCGCGGTCGTCGGCGATTCGAGCCGCTCTGCGCTGGATGCGGTCAAGTGGAAGGAGCTGGCACTGGGGAGCCAGGGGTTCCCAGAGATGGGAACAGTATTCCATGTGAGGCCGAACCTGCGTCTTGTAAAGTTGCAGGCGGTGTGCCGGCTTGAAATACTGTCCCGCTCTGCTGAGCAGGCCAAGCTTTTTGTAGGCCAATTTGACCTTCTCTTCCAAGTGACCACGAAACTGCACGTCACTCGATATGTCGACTCCGAGGATACCGATACTGGCTGAGGCAAGAAGGGGAGTGCCTTGAAACTGAGGAGATACGACAAAGGGGTTCTTTTTAGCGGTAAACGCGCAAACTTGTGTCTTCTGAGGATTAAACTGGACTAGATTTAATCGCCCCCAATCCAAGACTTTGTTCAGCAAAGACTCGATTTCAGACACAAGTTTGTTCCGGTACTCGGCGACGTTTTCTCGTGAAATATTGGCACGGCCGGTGTATAGAGCATCACCAGTGCTGTCATCCGCATAGCAATGAATGTTACCAGTTAGCAACATATCATTGATATGCAGAAGAAACAGCGTTAATAGGCTTGTAGTCAGAACATGCACCGTCTACAACGACCTTGATGCTCCGATCTGCAAGGAAGCTGGTGATCCAATTGCACAATTTCTCGGGAAGCCCATAGGAAGGGAGCTTCGAAAGAAGCGCTTTGTGCTAAACCCGATCGAAGGCCTTCGCAATGTCCAGACTAACGGCCAACGCCTTCCCCTTGGACTCTACTGCCTCCGCCCATCTATGGATCAGCTTGTAGACCAGAAGATAACCAGCTGATCGACCCCGACGAAAACCGTATTGGCGGTCACTAATCAGCTGGTGATCCTCAAGGTACCGCATGAGCTGGCAGTTAATAATGGATTCCATTATTTTGGAGAACAAGGAGGGTTTTTAGGGATCGGGTGGACAAAAGTTGTCTTCCATGAATTCGGGACTACGCCTTGGGAGTAGGAGTACCGGAAAAGACGCGTTAGGACCGGTGCCAACTCCGGAGCACACGTCCTCAGCACAATTGGGGGGATTCCGTCAGACCCACTCGACTTCTGGATGTCCAGGGAGAGAAGTGCTTTGCGAACCGAGCGCTGTGAGAACAGCACATCCGGCATGGAGCACTCACACCGCGGGATGGTCGGCGGTGTTTTCCCCCTGTCATCAAGAGTCGAGCTGGACGCAAAAAGAGAGCCTAAAAGGTCGGCTTTGTCTTTTGCGTCTTGGGCCAGTGAGTCCTCCTCCCTGTGCAGAGATGGTAGTGATGGCTTACAGAAATTCCCTTGGACAGCCTTGGCGAGAGACCATAATGCACGGGTTCCCGAAGTAAGGCGAACTAGTTTCTCGCCAATTCTGTATATGTGCTCTGACTTTGCCTTGGCAATAACTCTTGAAGGACCTTGAGGCGAATCTTACTACGTGGTAAAGCCAATATATATATATATTATGATTATAGTATGAAGTACGAATGGATCGGCTTCATCGGGGTAGGTCCGCGTTCTCAGAATACCAACGTAAAATAGCAGCTTAATACTGCTGTGGTTTGTATGGTGAGTTAGAGAACCAGATATCCTTCTTAATGGAAACGAGGCATTCTATCTTAGTCCTCAGGGGGTGACAACGTATCTGCATTTTGATTCCTAATCGACGATATATGTAGATGTTCTTGAGCCACAGCATCTACCATCGGGTAGACTGTATGCCCGTTTGTCATTAGTCTATAAAAAAACATCTTAAGTCTACACATCACTAATTTGAATCTAATTTAGCACAAGTTAAATTGCTCAGTATATGAGTCACAAGAGAATACATCACCTTGGTTAATCCAGTGGCTACATTAAGTCTTACAAGTGCAGCGACTACAGTAAATTCTACTTAGAATATTTTTTTTTTATTAATTTAATACTGATTATAACTTGCCGTGGTAGCTCAGATGGTTAGCGCTCGCTGTAAGCTTCACAGTACTCGAGCAACCCGGGTTCGATCCCCGCCGGCATCAATGAAATAAGTAAATTTTTTCTTTTACCGTTGTTTCGGAAAAAAACTGTCCAAGTAACCTTACAGTATAAAGTAAGTTGTATAATTATTTACAAAACTTATAAAGGGAGAGGCATATTTTTATCGTGGTAGAGCCATGCAACAGCTATATTAATAGTATAGTTGTAGCACGAATGGGTCGGCTCGACCGGGGAAGGACCACGCTCTCACAGAATACCAGTGTAAGGTAGCAGCTTAATGCTGCTGTGTTTCGTATAGTGAGTGTAGAGAACCGGAGACGCCTTTTACTGGAAAAGAGGCATTCTATCTTAGTCCTCATAGCTGACAACGCATCTGTATTTTAATTCGCAAACGAAGATAGATGTATATGTTTATGGGTCACAGCAATCACTTATCATCAGGTGGACTGTGCGTTCGTTTGTCATCCTTATCATATAAATAAAAACAGCTATCCAGCCAACGATTGTCACAGACTGATAAATACTAAATGTAATGAGTAGGCATTAGGTATATCCATTTTATTATCTTATTTACAAAATAAAATAATTAAAGTATAAAACAATAATTAATAAAATGAAAAATGTCTTTGGTGATCTTTCCAAAGCTTTTGATGTGTAGAACATAATGAATTAACCCATAATTGCATTAGTCATTATGTTTTAGAACTTAAGTCATCATTGTCTAGTTGTGAACAGATAGTAAGCATACATTACATAATATTGTCTTTGGGGTCATTACTGCGAAATGAGACCGAACTGTAGGAATTCCGCAGGGGCCTACCCTTGGTCCCGTTTTTGTCCTAAATAAGGCAGATCAGTTATTGTTGCAGAATACCGTTCTTCCTATGTCGTGGATAGACGTGACCGTGGTAGCCCCATGCTGCAGCCTGCAGCTCGAATGGCTCGGCTCGACTGGGGTAGGAGAACGCTCTCTAAAAGTACCAGTGTGAAACAGCAGAATAAGACTATTTCGAATGGTGAGTGTGGTAAAGACGTATTCCATCTTAGTCGTCAGGTCAGGGGTGACAACGGATCTATATGTTGATACTTAATCGAATATGGCTGTCGATGTCTATGAGCCACAGCATTCACTTACCATTATATAGACTGTGTTCTCGCTGGTCACTCTTATTCTATAAAAAAAAAAAAACTGGTAATTTCTAATGCGAGGTTCTATTTAAAACAAAAACCTTCGTTTTTATATAAGATCCATTCTACAGTGCCGAGTGTACGAAATATTGTTTTAAAAACTTAATTTCTTCATTTATTATATCTATATAGCCTATCAAGTCTTCGCCATAGATTCCTTCATAGGGGGATATTTATCATAGTTGCCACGATTTGTATTCGGTTCGGCAACGACAGTTTTTATTATCAAATTGTTATTTACAAAATGCTGTTGCACATCTTTCATTTCCCTCTGTCGCCACTGACGATGTAAAAGTTAACAACTAAGTGTTCGGTAGTTGCGAAATAATAATTTGTTATTAGAAACGATTTTTACTTTCACTTCGTTTATAATGAAACGGTATTGTAAACGTATCTTGAGTACTAGGTCGAACGAGTACGAAATAATATTAAGATATTTTTTTATAGAATAAGTGACTCGATAAGACGTATGACGTAAACATGTATCCTCGAAATTATCCGGTAACAAAGACGTAGTAGTTCGAAATCAAACGACCCACTTCAAGTTAAGACATTACTGATAGCTTTTCTTAATAGCTATTGTAATATAGTGACAAGTTTATTAAAAAAAAAAAAACAACAACAATAAGTAGATATTTGAATGTATTTATTACACTAAATTAACGAATACAAATTTATATAAATTAAATAAAAAATCTAGTTCTTATACAATAATCACATTCCACTTTCCTAAGTTACAATTTTTATTTTACATTATATTTGCATTAGTAATGTGTTTTATTCAAATTTTGTATTCGAAAGATCAATGATCTGATTCCCAACATTAAACGTTAATTTTTTAAATTCTTACAAGAAATTTTTTGAAACTATTATCATGAGAAAAGCGGCCATTTTGTAAACAAAATATCGCTACTGCGTCAGTATAAAAGTTTAAACACAACAAGGGTATATTGCGAATTTTATTGGCTATGAATTGAGATTTTTTACTTTGCAACTATAGATATATTTAAAATCATAACTGCCTACATAAACACAGACTTAAATACAACATTGCATTAAGTTTAAAATACAGTTTTAATAATATTGAAAGTGATTCTGAATACAGATTTTCTTTCTCGTCAGGTAGTTTTCAATTTAAGAACTACGATACGCAAGGAAGTAACTTGTGTTATTGCTTTAATTCTGTCAATATAAACAGTCCTACAAACAAGGAAACCGATTGATTCAGGAAACCTAATTCTCTACACAATAAATGCATAAACATTAATACTCCACTCCGTATTTATACAATCATACGTACACTAAGTTTTTATATTATATACAGTTGATTTTACACAACTCGAAATGAATCGAAAACCCAATTAATGTTTATATTTAATCACAGGTTGACTCTATTGTCATTAATGAGAGAAAGCCTGTACCCGGCGGTCAACGTTATAAAGGTTCAACGAGCCCTAGGTTAACTATGGGATATTCGATTACATAAATATAATAAACGTGAACTTAATTCCAATAATAAGCCATAAATTTCCAAGAATTTAGTCAGTCTTAAAATTATATCAATAAATAAATTACCTCACCCATTATGTCAGTGTGATTTGAGCGTTCCTCTTCTGATCTTGCAAGGAATATTTTCAGATACTTGACGATATTTTTAAATTACTTTTTACCTTTTCTGGTAGTAATAAAGAGGGAGGGAGATTGCCATGTGGTGATTTCGTGAAATAATCTTTCATCTCATTTGAAAGAAAGGCCTGAAACGGCTTCATTGTCTTCAACAGATCTATCCATGCCTTCAATAGATCTCCCATAGATTGCGTCATAGGTGGGATTTTATAATAAATGCCACGCTTGGCAATCTCGTTCCCAACCGCAGTTTTTTATGATTTTGTTATCAGGAAGATGCTGCTGCCCATCTCCTGTATCCGTTTCCCTCTGTAGCCTCTTACGACACCCACAGATTGATATGGAGTCGTGGATATTCTTACACTGCCACTACAAGCTTAGATAGACCACCTCATACGCCAGATGTGAAATATTCACGCAAAACCACAAGTATCATCACGGTCTTTTTTATAGAATTAGGGTGACAAACGAGCACACAGTCCACCTGATGGTATGTGGTTGCTGTGACCCATAGACATCTACATCTATCCTCGATTACGAATCAAAATGCGGGTGCGTTGTCACCCGTGAGGACTAAGATGGAATGCCTCATTTCCAGTAAAGGGTCTCCGGTTCTCTACACTCACCATACGAAACACAGCATCATTAAGCTGCTATTTTACGCTGGTATTCTGTGAGATCGTGGTCCTTCCCCGGTCGAGCCGACCCATTCGTGCTACAACTATACCAGTAATATAGCTGCAGCATGGCTCTACCACGTGTAAAAAACTTCTAAAAAGTCTACTGGTCTTAGGAAGCCTTGTATAACACAAATGCCTTAAAATGGTCAAAAGCTAGCAGTTCATGTGATAGTAAGTGGCTGTCAACTTCAAACAAAGAACAACAGCTACAATATAACAGATGAGATGTTATCTCTGAGGGCTGAGATGAAACGCATGACAGCTTACCTATAATTAGGTACTTGATACTACCATTGTTAAATTACTACATCATATAATTTTGTCACAATTTCTCTAGTGCAGTCGTCGTTTTGCTAATAAATATAAATCGTTAAAATTATAATTTGTATGCTATTTACTGTAAAGCATGTAAATTACAATTCCAAACTGTTTATATGACAATATTAATTAGTGGTAATATTACGCTCACTAGATGTCGCTAGTTGGGATTAATGAGAACTTATTTGTTACGGAGATGGTCCGTGTCATCGTAATTGAAAAATTGCGATTTATAAGTTTCTCGGCTTCTAGTGTATGTATGTATCCAAAACAATGTCTCATTACTGTATTCTTTAATTTTTTTACACATTTTAACTTTTTTTTTATTCTACTTTTAGGAATATCCTTAGTCTGGTTTATCCATTTTTAATCTAATTAATACATTTTCCGAACAAATCGACTTTACCCGTTATTAAACGTCATCCCTAAGTGACGCCGTCCTGGTGGCTTTCAAAATTTTTTTCCATTTTAATTTGAATTAGACTGTAATACTTAAATCACATGAGTAAAGAAATCACACAGAAGCAGCTAACAAAACAAACAACGTGCGTGGCACCGACCCTGAGAGTGTTATCCACTGGCTGTGCCAGCGACAAGCGGCCAGTGCTCACGCACACACACACACGCACACACGCCCCGCGCGCTCGCAGTAGTGCAACCGATTCGCGCGGTTGTATGAAGCGTTATCTCTGTTCCGTTTATCTACTATGTGCTTAAACATTATACAGATAAGATGGTTATAAAAACTAAGAAGTCATTACAGTATACCCCCATACAATTTTTATACAAATGTTCATTGTGACAGGTCTTAAAAAGTAATTCAATTGACTAGTGTCAAGTACCCGATAATACTGTCTTTTTATCTTTGTAACTGAAACATAATGATGCATTGCTGTTTGACAAGAGAAAGAGTATGAGCGTGGTGAGTATCCAAATGGAGACTTGGCAGACGACGAGGTCTATTTATTCACTAAGTTCGCACTTAAACCCGCAGTATCTCGGTGTGGCGATTGTAGCAGATGGCGATCCAGTCGGGTTGTGTGGCGCCCCATTGAATCTGGTTGACTTCACCCTCGGCAGCTGTGTACGCAAGAATAGGGTCCTCAATGGCGCGAGGCATTTGCTGGATGTCCCAGATTAATGCCTGGTGGTCATCTCCCGCTGTGCATATGTGACAAGAGCTGGAACGGAAATATAACTCGATAAAATTGAGTTTTTTTTTTTATAGAATATGGTTTTTTTTATAAGATAGGGTGACATACGAGCACACAGTCCACCTGATGGTAAGAAGCTGCTGTGGCCCATAGACATCTACATTTATCCTCGTTTGCAAATCAAAATGCAGATGCATTATCACCCGTGAGGACTAAGATGGAATGCCTCGTTTCCAGTAAAAAGGGTCTCCGGTTCTCTACACTCACCATACGAAACACAGCAGCGTTAAGCTGCTATTTGACGCTGGTATTCTGTGAAAGCGTGGTCCTACCCTGGTCGAGCCGACCTATTCGTGCTACAACTATACTACTAATATAGCTGCAGCATGGCTCTACGACTTATAAAATTACAATAATTTAAATATATTATTGTAGATTTAAGTATTGACAAGTGAGTAAACAACGTTCAAAGCATGTTTTAAAATATGAAAATCTATAATAGAACCACTGTATCTTTATAATTAACTTTGATTGCCTTGATGCTTATAATGTTCTCCAGACCAAATTTCTGTCACTGTGGCCAGTCTCAACGCGGACTAGCCATGTGCATGGGACCATAGTGCTAGATATGCACAAGCACAGGTGCACTCTCTTTCCCTCACTCTCATAGCCCGATGGCCGGTAATCCAACACGACTGGAGAGATATCAGGCTTAGGATCAACGGTTTTATCTGTTTTCTGAGGCACGGGGGTGAAATACCACCAACTTCCTTCCTGTTGTGTAACAGTCAATAACTATAATTCCATAGAAGTTGTATAGTCCATAAACCTTGGTACTGTTTACAAGTATTAATTATTAACTTAAATTCCGGTTTGACTGGCCGTCATGGTTGAAATTCGGTGTGGATGGTGCGGTAATTTAGCGGTGATAGTGCGGTCACCTGTGGGGGGCCCAGGCGATGCCGTTGACGCAGGCGCGGTGGTTGTTGAGGCGCGCCACGGGCGTGCAGGGCACGCGCACGTCCAGGATCACCACCTCGCACGCGTCCATGGCCACCGTGCCCAGGTAGTTCGGGTCCTGCTTGTTCCACGCCAGCCGCAGCAGCGGCGTGTGCTGCGGGTCCTGCACCACGCACACGCGCCACACATTAAACACATTCTCTCTCTCTCTCTCTCACACACACACACACGCATACCAACGTGCACGCGCGCACGTAGTTTAGAGCAACAAAAAATACTTGTCAAATATATTTCTTTATAGAATAAGGGCGAGAAACGAGCGCTCAGTCCAGCTAATAGTAAGTTGATGTTCTAACCCATACATATCTACATCAATCTTCGATTCAAAATGAAAATGCGTTGTCACACCCGACCACTAAGATTGAATGCCTCGTGTGCAGTAAAAAGGAGTCTCTGGTTCTCTACACCCACCATACGAAATACAGCAGCATTAAGCTGCTATTTTAAGTTAATGTTTTATGAGAGCATGCTTGTTAAATCATAAATCTTTATTTACAAGAATCACAGTATAAAATGTTACAATTTATCTAGTACAGTCGTGTTTCGCTAACAATAGTACATAGCATGCAAATACACAATCAACAATATAAAATAATTACTATCTAAAAAAAACTTTTACATCTTGGTTTTTAACGAATTAAAACTACGAAATAATTTGTCTGGGCCACGTCAGTTTCGGGGATATATATACCTTGCTTTAATAAACAGTGAATTATTTTTAAAACTGATTCATAAATGTATAGTGACCTGCCAACTTCACAAATGTATAATTAATTTCCTTCCCCGGTCGAGTCGACCCACTTGTGCTACAACCACAATATGACTGCAGCATGGCTCTGCCGTGTAGAATAGGGAAGTGGGGAATATAAAGTACAGTGTACAGTCAGGCAAATAACAGTAAGAGATTGTTGTGGGTATTTGTGTTATTGTAAACGTAGGTAGTTATGCCATATAATAAATCAGTTGTTGTCTCGCTAACGAACGTGTATTATTGCAATCACAACATGGTGTTAGAAGTGGGATTATAAGCATAGTAAATGTTTAAAATCGAGTACATCAATAGAATATTTTGCAACATACATATGTATAGTATAATATTTTGGGAAGTTGTGAACCGCGGATAATTCTATTCAGAGATTATTATAACGAGTGCTCCAATTAACAATGGAGCACGCGCGGCCACCTAGCGAATTACAGTTAGAAGGCGGACCCGTCAGCAGGGCTGATGCTTGGAAGAGGTGGAGACAACAATTCGTGTTATTTATGAAAGCTTCGGGTGTGCACTCGGAGACATCGGCAGTAAAGGCAAGTTTACTTATCAATTTAATTGGTTCAGAAGGATTCGACATTTATCAAACTTTTACGTTCACTAAAGAAGATGATCGTGATGATGTGCAAATAATTTTGAGTAAATTTGATGAATATTTTGGAACTAAAATTAATATTACATTGGCGAGATACAAGTTTTTCACGCGTAATCAAGAAGAAGATGAAAACATACAGCAGTATGTTACGTCATTACGGTTATTGAGTAAAAATTGTAAGTTTGCAACTTTAGAAGAAGAGCTGATCAAGGATCGAATTGTTTGTGGTGTGAACAGCACAATAGTCAGGGACCGTTTGCTCAGATGTGAGGACCTAGACCTGGACAAAGCGGTGAAGTTGTGCCAGGCCGAAGAAATTTTGCAAGAGAGTAGCCGTCAACTAAGTGCTAGTGGTGCTGGTGTGTGTGCTAGTGTAGTGCAGGTAGATAGTGTCAAACAAGGGAGAGGACGACGCGACGCGCAGCACACAGGCGCCGGGCGCGCCTCGCGGGGCACCGCGCTGCAAGCGCTGCAAGCGCTGCGCTGCCCGCGCTGTGGAGTCGAGCGCTGTGCAACGCCTCGATGTCCGGCCGTTTACGCCACATGTTTCACTTGTGGTAAACAAGGTCATTTTGCGCGGGTATGTAGGCAAAATTTAAATAATAAGGCCGGTGTAAAACATGCATATGACATTGAACAAAATCAAGATGTCACGCGTTCTTTTGATTGTGAATTGTTTTTTATATCAACCATTAGTGGTCAAGAGGATTGTTCAGATGGTTGGTTTGAAACATTAGCTTTTGAGAAGGGTATCGAAGACTTTAAATTAGACACGGGGGCGGATATAAATGTTATATTTTTTGAAAGATTTTTGCAACTGGGTTTTGATTCCAATATGATAAAAAGTGATCGTATTAAATTGGAGTCGTATAGCGGTAATATAATACCAGTAAGAGGCGTTTGTTATCTACAATGTTTTTATAAAAATGTTCGTTATGATTTAAAGTTTGCGATAGCCGATTTGCGTTGTCAAAGCGTGCTGGGGCGACAGTCGTGTGAGAAGTTAGTGTTAGTCAAGCGAATTCATGAAATTAATATATCAGACTACGATGACTTATTTAGCGGTATTGGGTGCCTTCCAGGAAAGTATCATATTGTTTTAGACGAATCCATACCTCCGGTGATTTCTACTCTTCGAAAGATTCCGTTAAGTTTACGTGAACGTCTAGCAGATGAGCTTAACAATATGGAAAACCAAGGTATAATAAGGAAAGTTTCTCATCCAACTCAATGGATGCATCCACTAGTTCTAGTCGCAAAAAAGGACAATGGAATTCGCGTGTACTTAGACCCACGAGAACTTAACCGTGCAGTGCAGCGCGCGCATTTCCAATTGCCCACTGTGTCAGAGCTCGCAGCGAGGCTACACGGAGCGCGCTTCTTTTCGGTCTTAGACGCCAACTCAGGTTTTTGGGCTATACAACTGGATGAACAGAGTGCAGACTTGTGTACAGTTGCCACACCGTTCGGTCGATATCAATTTCTTCGCTTACCGTTCAGTATTAACTGCTCTTCCGAAGTATTTCACGCGAAAATGAGGCAGCTTCTAGAAGATTTAGAGGGTACAGACAGTTTTATAGATGATATAACTGTCTGGGGACGAAACAAGCATGAACACGATAGGAGACTAATTGCATTGTTAAAAAGAGCTAGGGAAATTAATTTAAAATTTAATAAAAAGAAATGCAAAATAGCAGTTGAAGAAGTTACCTACTTGGGTCATATTTTTGATAAAAACGGTATGAGGCCTGACCCTAATAAAGTAAAAGCCATCTCTGAGATGCCTCAACCGTCGGACAGAAAAAGTTTGGAAATATTTTTGGGAGCCGTTAATTATTTATCGAAATTTATTCCGTGTTATTCTGACCGCGCTCTTCCCTTAACGAAATTGTTAAAAAAAGATAGTATTTGGCGTTGGGAGCTTAGTGAGCAGACGGCATTCGACAAATTAAAAGAATCGGTTTGCACAGCGCCAGTGTTAGCGTTGTACGACGTTTCACAGCCAGTCTTGTTATCGGTAGACGCATCTCGCGAACTCTTACAGATACGCAACGCCGGTATGCTCAAGTGGAAAAGGAGTTGTTGGCAATTGTGTTCGCCTGTGAACGATTTCACCAATACATTTTTGCAAAAAATGATGTTGTCATAGAAACAGATCATAAACCTTTGGAAAGTATTTTTAAAATGCCATTAATGTCCGTCCCAGCCCGCTTACAACGTATGATGCTTAGAATACAAGGCTATGACTTAATAGTTAAGTATAAACCAGGAAAATATATGTATATTTCAGATGCATTATCTCGCGCGCCGCTTCCCGACTTAGCATTAGATGATAAATTAGATAAAAAAATTCTATGTCAAGTAAAATTAATTGTAAACAGTATTCCAATTTCAAATAACAAGTTAACGCTGATAAAAAATGAAACGAAAAAAGATTTTGATTTGTGTACTTTACTAAATTACATTAAATTAGGATGGCCTCATGACGTAATAGAAAATCTCAAAAAATATTGGTCTTTAAAACATGAGTTATATGTGGTAGATGACGTCATATTTAGAGATAATGTTGTTTTAGTCCCTCGTTCCCTGCGAACAGATATGTTGAAAATTGTACACGAAGGACACTTAGGTATAGATCGGTGCAAGCGACGCGCAAGACAAGTAATATTTTGGCCAGGCATGTCACGTGACATAGAAATGTATGTGAAACGTTGTGCAGTGTGCAGGGAGAGCTCAAACGCACCTACTAAAGAACCCATGATTCCAGTAGAAATTCCTGATTTGCCCTGGTTTAAGGTTGGGTCTGATTTATTTGAATATAGGAAGAAATATTATCTTATTTTAGTTGATTATTATTCTAGTTTTGTTGAAGTAAAAAAATTAGAAAATATTACATCACAAGTGGTTATACGCAGTATGAAGGAAATATTTTCACGACACGGTATACCTGAAATACTTATAAGTGATAATGGAACTCAATATAGTAGTCGCGAGTTCAAACAGTTTAGTACAGATTGGGGCTTCACTCACATTACATCCTCACCAAACTATCCACAGGCTAATGGAAAAAGTGAACGTGCGGTGCAAACAGTTAAGTCTTTGTTAATTAAAGCTTATAAGGGGAATAGTGACTTTGAACTTGCTTTATTGAATTACAGAAATACTCCGAGACATGGTTTGGACTCTCCCGCGCAATTACTAATGGGTCGCAGATTACGTTGTAAATTACCAGTGTGTGCAGAATTACTAAAACCACAAGTTGCAGACACATCTCAATTTAAAACAATGCTGCAAAAACAGCAGCAGTCAAAAATGTACTATGATAAACATTGTAGAACGTTGCCTAAACTAAATATCGGTGACGAACTAATATGTATAGATGGTAAGAAAAGGACTCGCGCTACTGTAATTGATCAAGGTGATACACCTCGTTCATATGTAATACATAATGAGTTAGGAAGACGAATATGACGCAATAGGCGTCATTTAATTAAGTCTTACATAAGTCCAGATTCTAAAAATATTAAAAAAGATATGAACATCACTGTAAACGGAGGGAGTGGCAATTTTGTGGGAGAAAAATGCAAAAAATTACAACAAATCCCTGATAAGGTGACTCAGCGTAACGATAATTCTAGTTTAAACGAAAATAAAATTGCTAAAAATGGGTTTAAAGATCATAATAATGAGGCATCCACATCATGGCCACACCCTCTCACACGTAGTCGGGCACGACGACTCAACATAAAAATTGATTAAATTGTTTTAAATATTTTATTATTACGTTAGTCCTATAAGAAATTTTGTTAATTTTTAGTTATTTTTGTTCGCACAGGGGGATGGATGATATTGTATCTTTATTAATAAGGGGAGATGTTGTGGGTATTTGTGTTATTGTAAACATAGGTAGTTATGCCATATAATAAATCAGTTGTTGTCTCGCTAACAAAGTTGTATTATTGCAATCACAACAGAGATGTAGTACCCACCTCATAGATGATGGTGGAGTGCTCGAGATGCCGCAGATCGAACATTCGCACAGATCCGTCAGCGCCGACAGACGCGAACATGTCCCGTCCCCCTCCAGCCCGACTGAATGCAATGTCATACACCTCCTGTGTACACAACAAACAGTTTTAACATTATCCTGAACCCTCCCACTCACCCCTGGTATATGAGCTAATAACTACAACTTTTATAGGAACAAAATAATGAAAAAAATAATTTTACCTTATCATGAGCAATCAACTGTGTTTTCACATGTCCAGACACATCGTTGACTCTGCCCAGCACTTGACCTGTCTCCAGCCCCCATATTGTGCATGTTGTGTCAATACTACTTGTGCCAATAAGATTGGGATCCACTTCATTCCAGTCGAAGGATGTGAGCGGTGCGCAGAAGTCAGAGTTCTTGTTGTTGTTTAGCACGCACTCGAAGAGGGTGTACGGTTCACCAGCGCGCCATATGCGTAAATAATCACCTATAATTAAAAAGTCGATTAATTACAGCCTATAGATGTCCCGCTGCCAGGCACTGGCCTCTAGACATCGAGCCCTTATCAGTTTTTTATGGTAACGGTTACATAACTGATATGTAGTTTTCATGTCGATATAAAAACCATTTTCAGATATGAACCAACATGTTGATTTATTCATCTTTGTTAGGTTTGACTGGTTATGAAATGTTTGCGTTAATTCTCAGACATGCAGGTTTCCAGACGATTATATTGGTGCTTGCAGGCATTGAAACCAGATTTCTAGCATACTGTGAAATTTACGGCAGCCCACAAGCTACCATGGCCATACCATACCAAGTTTGAAAATATATGATTTTTTATATTTGATTGCTACAAAAGTCCACTGTTGACAATAGGCCTCCCCCATATGTTATTATATACAGGCATTACTAATAAAAAACTAGATACACAATCAGTGACAAAATATGTCCTTACCGAATGAGCACCTACTCAAAAATTTGGTTGCGCTTTTAATTTGTACGTAGCTTTGTGAATACAACTTAGGCAATGCATTTAACATAATTGGCGACAGTTTTTAGAGAACTTTTGCATGGGATTGTGTATCCAGTTTATTATTAGTGATCGATGTATACAGGCCTATATTCATTAGTGGACTTAGGTGATTGATATCTTAATGTCAAAAACTTTATTGTATTTAATTTTTATTAATTATTAATTTGAATTCATTACAAAAAATCAAATAGAGGGAAATCTCTAACATTCATTAGTATTTTTGGTGGTTTATTATATTTGTGGTGACTTTGTGATGAAACCCATGAGTGATATGTCATTATTTTTTCTGGGTTTTAATTCATAACAGCCAATCATTTAAAGTATAATAACATTTTATAATGTGGTAGAGCCAAGTTGCAGCTATATTAGTGGTATAGTTGTAGAATGAATGGGTCGGCTTGACCAGGGAAGGACCACACTCTCACAGGATACCAGCATAAAATAGCAGCTGAACACAGCAGTGTTTCGTATGGTGAGTGGCACACAAGGCATTCTATCTTAGTTTTCACGGCTGACAACTCACACATCTGCATTTTTGTTAACAATCAAAGATAGATGTACAGATAGCGCGCGAGTTGAATGCCGTCGGGGCCTGAGGTGAAGAGCGGGAGCATCTCCCCCCGCCGTCCGCATGCCGCGTCTCGCGCGGCTGCAGTGTAGTGGAGGTGGGCATAGTGGATCATTTTTGCGATTGGAACATTTGTATCTTGATCACTGAAATGTTCCGAAACACTGATATGTTTCATTTGGCTCATTGGATCATCGACTCAAAAGATATAAAAGAAAGAATGTTCCGAATAGGTACATTAAGTTGCGTCGCGGGCGTTTATTACTGACTGATCCGTGAAATGTTATGTGGCAACAATGCTGAATAGTATAAGTGCTTAGATTATTTATTGTGTACCGTAATAATGAATTGACATAGTGACATTTTTGTTAAAGTATGAAGGAGAATCGATTTTATATACAATGTCAATTCATTATTTACAAAAATGTCCATTTACACAAAACAGCAATGTCTATGTACACAGAATTTACTCGTAAAGTATCATAACTCTAAACTTTATGATGAAAAGAAAGAAAGTAAAGTCACAATAATCACTACGCAAAGAAATCCTAAACATAACTCAGTATGTTTTAGTAAACAGGCGCTAATGAATATAAACAATTTGACAAGTGCCGCATCAACGTAAAATGACAACTTGTTAATGCAAACGTTACATACAAAAAATGACCGTATAGTATTTGACACATAAGCGCCTTAGTGGTAATTTTTACGTGCATGAATAACATCAGCGAAAATCCGTACGAGTTGAGTGATACACTTCTTATTTGTTATCTCTATCTGACTTGTGTGGATTATAATTATTTCGCCCGCTCACTCGCCACTCGTGAGTCAATAGTTAAGTTAATCATTGTCTCAGTCTCTCTATCTCGCTCGTGGCTCAGTCGCCTCGCAAGCGACGCGTCGCGTGAAATGAGCAAAGAGCAAAGTAATGTTTCACTGTTCCACATACAAATGATACATTTGGAACGATGTTACTGAACCAATCTTTTGTGTCACTTCAGTGATTCGTATCAGTGAGTCGTTTCCGTAAAGATATACACACGCCTACAGTGTAGTAAGCATGGGCGTTTTCAGATTTTGACTGCAACGGTTACATAACTGATATTTAGTTTTCATATCGTTATTGAAAACCGTTTTCAAATATCGATATCAGTATAATGGTTTACAACCGGTACATAACCTAAAATCAGGGGTATGAAAGTCCTCAGTAGCTTGCTTTACGTTGATACTAGTGCCATCTCACAGTAAAAGTACTACTTTTCCCGATATTTTTACATAATCTATTAAAAGATTGCGCCACTGTGGGTATTTATTATTTATACCGAAGCCTAAATCATGCTAGCAAAGTTTTGAAATTCGCCGGTATATAAGCAATTCACACCATGGTTTTCTCAAACAAACATAAATATTTACATAAAACAAAAAACAATTTAGTTAATATTTAAATTAAATAAATTAAATTGATTTCCTTTTAATTTTATTGAAATATGTACGAAATAATACTGAACCTAGGTGATAGCGCCCTCTAGTGTAATTTTCAGTAATTTATAATCCCTACGCCATCTATAAAAGCGCAGAAGAAACTTTCCTCGTTTCGTCACCTTATTATTTTTCAGAGTGGCTCATCTACTGAAAACTGTAGAACGAGTACATTTATTTTACGAATTATTTCGATTATTTTAGTTGAGAAGTCAGAGGCATAATAGAACATAATCTTAGATGTAATATTTAGACAATTATGTTAATATATAATTTATGATTGTTATGCAGAAATATAGTATTATAAATGTCTAAAATTACATTCTTTCTATTCTCATTTATGTCTATAATGTTTATACCCATATTTTTTTAAAGTGAGACGTAGGATCAGAGTTTGATTTCGAAGTCTATAATTAAACTGTATTCATAAGTAGTAAACATAATATATATATATATATTTTTAAATTATTATAGGTACATAGTTTATTTATTATTATTATATTAATAATCATTGTTTTTTATAATGATTATTTAAGTTGGCGATTTACCTTCATATACTTAACTAGGCTTAGGACTGACAGGAAAGTTTTAAAACAAATGGACAAAATGCAAATAAATATTACAAATAAATGCACAAACGCACCGTCAAAAATTAATAATTTTACAGATAGTTTCATAGTGAACGGCACACGCCACCAATGTCAAGTGCGTAATTGTTACTTCGGGTTCCGCGCCTACGTCACAGTGACCGAGTGAAGCCGGCCACAGTTGAGCGCATAGATAATATACTATATAGGGTAGTCAAGCGTGTGCCTGCTGTACTACCGTATGTCAGAGGTGTCACAGACAAGATTGGCTACATCTTGAAGCGAGCTTCTATTAGAACGTTCTTCAAGCCGCCGAAGAAGATTTGTCAGTTCTTACCATCCGTCAAGTACAATATTCCTCTACAAGATGCAGGAGTGTACAAGCTTGACTGTGAGTGTGGTCTCTCATATATAGTGCAAACAAAACGATCTATAAAAACCCGCGTAAAAGAACACATAGCTGACGTGAAGCACCAACGTTCCGGGAAGTCTGCCGTTTGTGATCATATCCTAGACGGCCCCCGCCATTACATTGGATTTGATAAACCACAAATTCTCGCGAAAGAACATCGATTCCTGCCAAGGATGATACGTGAGGCTATTAAAATTAAAAACATCCTAATTTCAATAGAGAGGGAGGCTGGGTACTACCACCTGCTTGGGATCCTGTAATTCATAAAATTCAAACTAAACCCAAGCATACCACTGCAAGACTTCAAGACACAGTTAGTTCATTCTGCGTAGATCGGACCAAAATTAATAATTAAAAAAGCTGAAGGTACTCCGGTTTAACACTGATATCGGGACGTCAATCACCTCAGTCTCCTGTGACCACGGTTGCTGGAAAGCAACCGAAACGTCGGAAATATAAAATAAGTTAATTAAACGCTATAAAATTTGTAAAGATAGTTTTATTCAATGTCCTAAAGATCATTTAAATCTGACAACTCTCACAAATACACAAACTTAAAAAATTAGGCAATTTTAACCATTTAAAATTCGACCTTATTGTTAAGAATCTTATAATTATATTTCACTATTTGCACCGTTTTATGATAACAACCAAAACATCGCAATGAAATCCATATTCGCTTCATCTCTTTCATACGTATTTATGATACTGTCGCTAGAACGAGAAACAAAGAATATCAAAGGACATCGGTTAGTTTTGGTTTTGGGCTGTTTTCGGTTTTTGGCATATCGTTACAGTTTGCGTTTTACGTTTCGTACGTTGGTTAGTTGATTTTGGGTTTTGGTTGGATATGTGATAACGGTTATGTTCTTAGGTTTATCGATATGATATGATATTTGATAACATAACGTTATTTGTTACGTTTTGATATATCGGTCTCATGCCTACAGTGTAGTGCTGTGCTGTCCTTGACAACTATCATAGGCTTACTGTGTTCAGTGTTGCCAACCGTACGATTTAAATCGTATTCATACGATCTTTTTGGCCCTAGTACGATGTACGATCATGTATTCGAAATCGTACGCAAAATATACGATCTTTTCAAATCTTACAATCTTCATAACAAAATAAAAATGACAATTGATTAAGTTCATTTTACCGATATAAAAATCAATAATTACAAAATTAAACGAGCTCTAAACTTCTTCTTTGTATTTTTTTATGAACGCATCCAATTCAATAACTTTTTAAACTCTATTTCTCGCGCAGTTTAACCGTTTTTCTTCGAGTTTGTTTTACGTCATTCTATTTGTTCTAATCCAAATAATATTACACCACGCAGATAATCATATATTACATATTTTGTAATATACGGTAGAGGGAACTCAGTCCGAGCCCATTTTTTTTTTAATAAAAAAGTCGTAGTAACGTTTAGTGTCAGATTCTTAAATGTTATATGGTTATACCCTAAATATAAAATTTTGCTTTGACGTTATAATAATATTATTTTTGTATTTTTTACCATTGCTTTATTGAAATATTGATGCGTACTATCTTTTTTTTGAGTTCTTAGCAAAATACGATCTTTTTCAGTTTATGGTACGATCTCCTAAAAAATAAAGTTGGCAACCCTGACTGTGTTATCGTGTTAATATAAAGTTGCAGCCGCGTGTTATTTTTGTTTTTAATGATGTCTGATCCGTGTACGTCAAGTTCTGTTACAAAAAAACGAGTTTATTCATCGCCAAGCACGGGAAATGGCAAAAAATGTTCTAGACATGTGTGTTAAAGAAAGGCAGAACAACAATTTAACATTCACATTAAATAATGCTCACGATCGCGCAAGCCGTTACACTGGACTTACGAAGAGAACATTGTCTGCAATTCAAAATGAAGCCAAAAAAGGGCTTCTTTGTTCGCCTTCTAAAAAGAAAAGACAGTGTAAAAAGAAGACAAATTTAAACGTCGATGATTTTGATCGAGATGTTATACACAGAATTATTTAAGTAAAAAAATTGTTCCGACCTGCATTAAACTCCTCGCAGATATTCGAGAAAACATCGAGTTTCCACGGGGAGTGACGAGTTTAAGAAAATTGTTAAAAGACATGGGATATAGATAGCTTAAATGTCATAATAAACGTAGAATTTTGGTGGAGAGGCCAGCTGTCGCATATGCACGGTCAATTTATTTGCGGAAAATTCGTCAATATAGGCAAGAAGATAGAAATATTTTTTTTCTCAATGAAACATGGGTAGGCAACAACCTCACATTTAAAAAATGCTGGAGAAATGAAATGATCGACGCCGTGTTGACGGATACAAGCTCCACGAACAGGCTCATTCTTGTCCACGCAGGATCGAGAGGAGGGTTTTTAAATGGCGCAAAGTTACTTTTTAAGGCTGGTACTATGTCAGGTGATTATTACGGACAGATGAACGGTGTTAATTTTGAGAAGTGGGCCACTGATATGTTAATCCCTAATCTACCACAAACCAGCGTTGTTGTGATGGACAATGCACCGTATCATAGTGTAAAAGACAATAAAGTCCCAACAAAGTCCAGCACCAAATCAGTAATTTTGGTATGGTTAACGAAGAACAATATCGAAGCTTCACTTACTATGAGAAAAGATCAGCTCTTTCACTTGGTTCAGTTACATAAACCTATGAAAAAATCTTTCAAAATCGATGAATTCATCAGAAGTCAAGGCCATATCGTAGTAAGACTACCACCGTACATGTGCGACCTCAACCCTATTGAGTTGGCTTGGGCAAAAGTAAAAAGAATTGTAAGGCATCACAATGTTACTTCTGATTTCTCCCTAAAAAGGTTAAAAGAAGTTACGGAGCTGGCTCTCTCTCAGGTCACAGAGGAAGATTGGCGTGGCTTCGACGAATACGTCATAATTTTAGAAGAAAATTATTGGCAAAGAGATGGATTAATGGAAGATACCATAGATCGATTCGTAATTGATGTCAGCGATGGTGAGGATAGTGACACCGATTCAACCAAGTCTGCCATTTCAGAATCTGATGCTGCATAAATTATAATTTTTTTTTATTGATTTTGATGTGTAACATAATAAAAAAATGTGTGATAATTATTACCTTGTTTTTTATAAACTTAAAACGTTAAACTTAAAACAATGTTGAAATTTATTGACATATTGTCATCATTAATTCTAATTAGGTCACAGCACTATCGCATTCCTGAGCTCTGCAGTCAACTTGCGCGCTATCTGTAGGTGGATTGTGTGCTCGTTTGTCATCCTTTTACTATAAAAATATATTCATCATCATCATCATTACAGCCCTTCACAAGTCCACTGCTGAACATAGGCCTCCCCCAAAGAATGCCACAAAGCACGGTCCTGAGCCACCTGCATCCATCGACTTCCTGCATATCTTAAAGAAAGGTTCTCGAGTGGCAGCCTCGTACCGGCAGGCGAAGTGTAGGGCGTCCCCCCACTAGATGGAGTGACGACCTGGTAAAAATATATTAATAAGGATTTTTTTTATTATTTATTAAATTGCACAGGGTTTTCTAAGATTTTTATATAATTCGGTAAATGACTAGTCAAAACTAATTTTAACTTCGGAAAGAGTGAGTAGTTTGGAGTGTTTCTTCACAATAAACTGAATAAAATTTCAATATATACTCACCGCTAGTGGCCAGCAAATCTGGATATACTCCCTTGCTGTCAGGGATCCACATAATCTTGGTGGTGGGGTATGGGTGGTCAAAAGTGCTTTTTGCACTGAACTCACTTGTTTCTTCATCTAAAGATATAATTTGTACCTGCATGGACATTAACATGTGAGCATAAGTTTCTTTTTTTTTAATAGAATAATGGTGACAAACAAGCACACAGTCCACCACAGTGGTAAGTAGATACTGTGGCCCATAGACATATAATATTTATCCTCCATTACAATTTAAAATGCAGAATCGTTGTCAGCCCTAAGGACTAAGATGGAATGGCTTGTTTCCAGTAAAAAGGATCTCCGTTCTCTACAATCACCATACGAAACACAGCAGTATAGAGCTACTATTTTATGCTGGTATTCTGTGAGAGTGTGGTCCTTCCTCGATCGATTCGACCCATTTGTGCTACAACAATATTATAGCTGAAGCATGGCTCTATCACGCAAACATTTTCTAAAGTCCATGTTTCATATAAAATTCATGTTTGTGCTGGTTCTAACAAATGGTTTATAAGAAAATTTGATTAATTCTGTCGATTGTTATGAGAACCAGTTGAGTGGTAATTGAGTAGTGTAAACTGCGAGCTCCTGAAGGAGTTAGTATTTATGTAAAACGTGCAACACAACTGTAATGGAAATAGTCAATATACAGCAATTTGCAGCATATTATGCATTCTAAAAAGAACTTAGTATTTGATTCTTGCTGGCCACACGAGGATGCTCAAGGTCTCTCGCTGAGCGAGCTATAGAGAGGGGTTGCTATGCTAGGGGTTTCTCATTAAAGTTAGAAATGAGGATATCCACAGTAGGACCTGAGTAACTGACATAGCCCAATGGATTATTAAGCTGAAGATTATGGCAATGGGCCGGCCATATAGCTCGAAGAACCGACAACCAATGGGGAAAAAGCAAGTGGCAGCCTCGTACTGGTAGGCAAAGTGTAGGGCGACCCTCCCCCCACTAGATGGAGTGATGACCTGGTAAGACGTGCAGGGAGTCGATGGATGCAGGCGGTTAAGGAACGTGCTTTGTGGTGTTCCTTGGGGGAGGTGTACATTCAGCAATGGACTTGTGACAGGCTGTAATGATGACGATGATGTTTGATTCTCTGAGTATATACATAGAATTGATACCTTATTATTGTATTCTTCAACAAAACTACCCAGGGCCAACCTGAATCTCTTGTCCGGCCGTACAGACCAATTCATCGAGTACAATGGCCATGGTGCTTGGTATCTAAGGACAAACACAAAGTATTAATGCATCATTAAATTTTAATTTCATACGTAGCTATGCCTGGCAAGTGTTGCTTCTTTTTTACCGACTTCAAAAAGGAAGAGGTTTCATAACTTTTTCCATCGTGAGCCAATTTCAATGATTCTTTTATATTTGAAAGCTGATGCTTTTCATGTGGTTACATATAAATATGATCAAAGTCTGACCAGTAGTTTTTGAATTATACTTAACAATTTATATTGAAGTCAGTTGTTAAAAAATTTTAATTTATCACTTGTTTTTTAGAAACTTCATAGGCAGGCAATACAATAACCTACTTACGTATCATTGTAATTAGATGAATGGTAGAACAGTGCATTGAAGACAAGAAAACATACAATTTTTTCATCAGAAATATTTGCAGGTATTAAAAGTTAAAAAAGTTACAGCCTATATACTGGGCACAGGCCTCTTCTCAACTCTGAGAGGGTTTAAGGGCAAGGAAATGTCCGCCTTGCTGCCCTGATGCGTGTTGGCAAACTTCACATGTCTATTCTTTCCTCACAATGTTTTCCCTCACAGTCGAGCAAGTGGTAAATCAGCACTTAAAATTGCAATTAACAATTTCATTAATGCTGGCGGGGATCGAACCAGGTTGCTCTCATACTGTGAAACTTACAGCGAGCGCTAACCATCTGAGCCATCACAGCTCTCAACATGTTATCATGACTCGCGGCGTGCACACTAAAAATCTCTATTTTTATCATAATTGGATTAATGGAATAGGAACACATACAGGACACACTTAACTTTATAAATATATATATCTCTCTATTATCTGGTTACTTTGAATAGACAGTAATTTTAAACTTACATTGATACAAACCAAGAATGATTTTGCATTAAACATTGGTTAAATGTCAATTAAGACTAACACTCTAAATGTATTTATTTATAATTCCAAAGTGTGTAGCTTATTTTCTTATTGTACTTGAATTAAAAATCATATTATGAAGCTTACTTGTATATTTCTTTGCGTTTTGTACTGGAACTTGTTGTACTAGAGCTGCTATGTGGCATCGACATGTTACTGTGTTTCGTTTAACACTAGAAATAGTAAGAAGTAGGTTAATTGCTGCATTTAACAAGTCAAACACAATATGTAATAAAGATTTTGAAGAAAATTACGCGTGAAAGAAAAAAGATCTTGTTAATTAGGTATACTTGTTTTTGCAAACACTAAATCAATTTTATGCAACGTACCGTATAATTAACCCAGTACTGCAATCTAAGGCCTTATGCAATATTATAATTGTTTCTATCGATAACAATATTTTACTGCATGCCTTATAATGTTGTAAATTAGAGCACACGGTTATAAATAAAACAACACATGTAAAGCAATAAACAGAATCAAATCAATAGCGAATAGCGATTCGATTCGATGTTACTTGACGTTTGACGTTTATAATGACATTCATATAAACGAGTTGCCAGTTTTTATAAAATGACTGTTTGAGTTTAGAAACTCATTGTTTATTACATGAATTGGTGGTATACTGTATGAACAAATAATTATAATTCTTTCAGTCTATTTTAATTATTTTGATTTTGATCTCAATATTTTTTATTACATGGAGTACATTACAGTACAGTACATTGAGTCGAGGGATACTCATTCCAATTTACCTGTACGGTAGTTGTGGTATGGTATACGGGTATGCGACCCCGGCTTCCTTAGCTATTACTGTCTTGAATAAGAGAGGTCTTGAATAAATGCGGAGAAAATGAACGGATCGTAATGTTAGCGGACTTTAATGGATGGGTTGAAGTAAAGCGTGATGGGTATGAAGGAGTTCTGGGTACGTTTGGGGACGAGAGAGTGAATGACAATGGGAGTAGCCTGCTTGAAGTATGCTTGGAATGGAATCTGTGCGTGGCCAACACTATGTTTGACCACAAAAAGATCCATTTGTATACAAGGGATGAGGGTGAGTCTAGAAGTATGATTGATTTTGTAATTGTGGATGAAAGACTGAGGAAGAAAGTGCTAGACACTCAGGCATACCGCGGTGTAGGCCTCGACACGGACCACTTCCTGGTCATAGCCCGAATTCGTGGCCTCTTTAAACGGTGGCGACACCGAGGGGCCGAGCCTACGAGTGTTTTGGACACAGTAAAAGTGGAAAATCTACAAGAAAAAGAAAAGAAAGACGAGTGTGTAGAGAAACTGAAAGAAAGTTTTAAAGGGATAGAAGAGATAAGTGTGATTGAAGATTTGTGGGAGACATTTAAGAAAGGGGTCGTGAATGTTGCTATTGAGGTATGCGGGGTAGCTAAAAGAAGGAAAGGAAGAAAGAACTATAATGTGTGGATGGATAAAGATGTACAAAAGGTTGTGCAAGAAAAGAAGAAAGCGTGGTTGGATTGGTTAGTAACAAAAGCTAACCAAAAAATTCAAATGGCAACGGATGAGGAGATAAAGGAAGCAAGAATGAAGTATAAAAGATTGAAATCAGCACCGAAAGAAGTTGTGTCTAGAAAGAAAGAAGAACGAAAGGATGATTTCGATAGAAGGCTCACTGAAGATTTCCAGTCAAACATTAAGTTTTTCTGGAAATCCATCAAAACAGCCAGAGGAAAAATTTCTACCTCGGAGCTGACCATAGATAAATATATATGTAGCAAGCTAGAGCTGACTACAATAAGGAGTCAAGATGGGAGCATTATAAAAGGAGAAGAATGTGTGTTAAAGAGATGGGAAGAGTATTTTGAAAGTTTGTTTGAAAGAGAGGAAGTGCAGGTACAGCATCTGGCACCTTCCACGGAAACTAATATAAATGTTGATGAAAATGAGATAAGCATGGATAGAATAGTGAAAGCGTTGAAAAATATGAGATTAGGTAAGGCTGCAGGGTATGACAGGATTACCGTCGAGATGCTGAGGGCTGGACAGGGCCTGGTGGCTAGTCAGCTGTACCGCCTTTGCAATCTGTGCTGGCGAAATGGGCAAGTACCGGGAGACTGATGCAAAGCCATAATAGTGCCATTGTATAAGGGAAAAGGGTCACGGCAGGACTGCATAAATTACCGCGGTATGAGCCTTCTCAGCGTCGTCGGTAAATTGTATGCGAAAGTGTTGATTGAAAGGGTTGTGAATGAAACAGACGAGAAAGTATGGGATGCACAAGCGGGATTTAGAAAGGGAATGGGATGTACAGATCAGGTCTTTTTCTTGCGGTGCACAGCCGAAAAGTGTTTGGCTAAAAACAAGAAAGTCTACTGCGCGTTCGTAGATCTAGAAAAGGCCTATGATAGAGTGGTGAGGAATGAATTATGGTCAGCACTGTCCATGAACGGTGTGAGCAGTATCCTCATACGAGCATTGCAATCTTTTTATAGGGATTCTAGTGCTTGTTTAAGGATAAACGGGGCATACACTGAATGGTTTAATATCGCAAAAGGTGTTAGACAGGGATGTGTAGCGTCACCGTGGCTGTTTAATCTGTTCATGGACAATTGTTTGACAGATTTAAAAGAGAATGAAAGTGGGTTGAGAATGAATGAGTTACTCGTCAAATGTTTTCTCTATGCTGATGACCAAGTATTACTTGCGTCTTCGGCCGAGGAGTTGCAGGAGATGGTAACTGCTATGAGTGGAGCTTTTGTTAGAAAGGGAATGAAGATGAATGTAAAGAAGATGAAAGTGATGGTGTTTGAAAAAGATGAGGCAGTGACAGACTGCAATATTGTGATTGAAGATGAACAAATTGAACAGGTGAAAGAGTTTGTGTATCTGGGTTCAAAGTTTACCAGAGATGGAAAGTGTGAGAGTGATATCGAAAGAAGAGTGAATGCATGAAACATGGTGAATGGAGCTTTGCACTCCTTTACGAGCAGTCGGAAGGTATCTAACAAGGCTCGTTTAGCTGTGCATGTGGGGGTATTGGTTCCGACACTCATGTACGGAAGTGAAAGTTGGGTATGGCAGAAGAAACATGAAAGCAGAATAAATGCAGTTGAGATGAGAGCGTTAAGAGGTATGATAGGAGTTAAACTGAGAGACAGGATAAAAAATAGTGAGATAAGGAAACGTTGTGGTCTGAAAGAAGATGTAGTGACAAAATTGAGAAAGGTATGCTGAAATGGTTTGGCCATGTCGAGAGAATGAATGAAGAACGATTGACGAAAAAAGTGTATAAGGCGAGTGTGAATGAAAGTTTTGGAAGGGGTAGACCTAGGCAGACATTACTAGACCAAATCAGGGACGTCTTGAAAGAAGGCCAGGTCAAGAGTACCCTAAACCGTAGAGTATGTATGAAGGGAATAATGAAAGTGGACGAAACAAAACAAGTATGTAAGGATCGTAGCAAGTGGAAAGAAGTGGTCTCTGCCTACCCCTACGGGAAAGAGACGTGATTATATGTATGTATGTATGTAGTACATTACAATATATTTTTGTACATTACGTTCTTTCGAGTCATGGGATTTCGAGTATAGTATACGGGTATGCGACCCCGGCTTCCCTAGCTATTACTGTCTTATCCTTTGCCCTCCTGGGCGGTAATATCCTATATTTCCTATTTCCCACTCTAACTTACCAATTCCTTTTCACACCACCTATTCTTCCCTTTCCCTATTCCATTCCTACCCTCTCCACCAATCCAACGTCTGCCGCGCGGATGGATGCATGGCTAGAGGCAAGCCAAGTCGTTAGCGTGCCACACTGCCCTGGGACCGGGCGACCCCAGAATTAGGCCAGCCTTACCCTGGCATGCGGGGCTCTGCTGGGGGGGGGGGGGACAAACCTTTCCCTCGCTATTCGTGGGAACGCAATGGATAGTCATAAAAATAATTCAATTAACCAAAATGGCGGCGATGTGGTTCGCCACTCATTACGTCTCGTTTCTCGCGAGGGCGAAAAGCGGCCCACGGAGAGCCGCTTCGCTACGTTGAATGTAAGAGGAGGAATGGATGGTAAGGTAGATGAAGTATGTCAGATGATGGATGAACGATGTATTCTTTTATTCTTTTTTTTTAAATTTTACCCCCACTCTAGGATTTTCTCCTGTATCGTGGAGGCAGTTTACAAACACAAATTTCACAAGGACAAACATCCAGACCCGGAATAATTATTTGTAGGCCATACAAATACTTGTTCCGTGCGGGGTTCGAACCCGCGCCCCCCAGCGCAGCAACTCATTGCTAAGCCACTGCGCCACGGAGCCGTCAACTCTCTTCTCTGGATTAGGTTAAAAGTCGGACTCACTCGCTTGTTTATCCTTGGGGTCTATGCACCGACGGATCTACGCGGAGGTGGGTCACTAAAAGCCCAACAAGAGAGAGAGGAATTCTGGGATAGCATGAGAGAGGTCTTGAATAAATGCGGAGAAAATGAACGGATCGTGATGTTAGGGGACTTTAATAGGTGGGTTGGAGTAAAGCGTGATGGGTATGAAGAAGTTCTGGGTACGTTTGGGGACGAGAGAGTGAATGACAATGGGAGTAGCCTGCTTGAAGTATGCTTGGAATGGAATTTGTGCGTGGCCAACACAATGTTTGACCACAAAAAGATCCATTTGTATACAAGAGATGAGGGTGAGTCTAGAAGTATAATTGATTTTGTAATTGTGGATGAAAGACTGAGGAAGAAAGTGCTAGACACTCGGGCATACCGCGGTATAGGCCTCGACACAGACCACTTCCTGGTCATAGCCCGAATGCGTGGCCTCTTTAAACGGTAGCGACACCGAAGGGCCGAGCCTACGAGTGTTTTGGTCAGAGTAAAAGTAGAAAATCTACAAGAAAAAGAAAAGAAAGATGAGTATGTAGAGAAACTGAAAGAAAGTTTTAAAGGCAGAGAAGAGATAGGTGTGATTGAAGACTTGTGAAGATTTGTGAAGAAAAGAAGAAAGCGTGGTTGGATTGGTTAGCAACAAAAGCTAACCAAAAAATTCAAATGGCAACGGATGAGGAGATAAAGGAAGCAAGAATGAAGTATAAAAGATTGAAATCAGCACCGAAAGAAGTTGTGTCTAGAAAGAAAGAAGAACGAAAGGATGATTTCGATAGAAGGCTCACTGAAGATTTCCAGTCAAACATTAAGTTTTTCTGGAAATCCATCAAAACAGCCAGAGGAAAAACTTCTACCTCGGAGCTGACCATAGATAAATATATATGTAGCAAGCTAGAGCTGACTACAATAAGGAGTCAAGATGGGAGCATTATAAAAGGAGAAGAATGTGTGTTAAAGAGATGGGAAGAGTATTTTGAAAGTTTGTTTGAAAGAGAGGAAGTGCAGGTACAGCATCTGGCACCTTCCACGGAAACTAATATAAATGTTGATGAAAATGAGATAAGCATGGATAGAATAGTGAAAGCGTTGAAAAATATGAGATTAGGTAAGGCTGCAGGGTATGACAGGATTACCGTCGAGATGCTGAGGGCTGGACAGGGCCTG